ATCTGTTATGAAATATTCTGACTAAAATATACCAGGTCTACACCATACATTGACTAGCAGTTCTCTTCTTTGAGTATCCAGCTTCCTACCCTACAGCCCAGAGACTTCCTTTCAGGGGACATAATCTAGTTACCTGTTAGATACTATACTGCACCTACCACAGTATATTCATAGGGTTGCTACACAACTGAGCCCCTAACCTAATATTTCCCAGCCAGCGCCAGTGCACATAGATGCACTAACAGACCCTGAAAGGTAGCCAGCTGCACTTCAAGCTAGACATACCATGTCAGTTTTTGTCATTTGATATTTTAAACTGGATGCTAAATTCCTTAATCTTTAAAGAGTGGATAATCCTTTCTCCTTTGCCTTCTTCATGGGATTTAAATCAGTCATTATCAGCCTCTCAAAAAAAAAACCCAAAAAAACATTGCAAATTCTTCATAAATCCCTTTAAATGAAAACTGTACTGATAATGTTCTTTGGGGATGCTAAACTAAATATTGACAACCTTTACATGTAATTTTTTTTTATTATTTTCCTATTTTCAAATTTTATGACTAATTTTTCATTATTATAATTTAAAATGAGCACAAGAGTTTTAGTTATTATACAAGTGCACCCTAAAGTAAAAAAAAAAAAAAAAAATGGATGAGAAACTCTGATCTAACCCCTTCTTTCCATATGTCTGGGTTGAAAGCCAAAGAGTTATTCATTCACACATCGTGTGTCTTTGTACACTCTGGTAGAGCCCACTCCACTTCAAGTGCATCCACAACTGATGTCTTCCAGCTTGAAGACTCACCTTCGGTATGGAGCCCAATCTGATCCATTGTGCTAGATGAATATTGACTACATAAAGGTTTCATCTAGAATGTTTCAAACAAGAAAGCCCATTATCCAATGATGACATGACATTGCTATACTGGCTGCATCCATATCTTAGAGCCCAATCTGTAAGGTACCAATAACACTCATAGACAAAGCAATCGGTAAAAGTCATAAAAATGATTGGAGCGCTAATCATCTTTTATAAATTTATATATATTATTTCTGTAAGTAGTATTGATGAAGGACAAGATATGTTGATACCACCTAGTCTTAAAAGAATTCTTAGTACTACCAATATAGAATTTTTTCAACCATCATATTTTCTATTGGAGGTATAGTACTAAGATAAACAAGAGATTTAGTTAAACATTTGTTCAGCAATTGTCATTGGTCAGAATTCCTACAATTATATTAGCTAATATCATTAATAATATTTATCTTAGAATGTGTATTATGATTCAGATTATGAAATTGGTTTAAAATTTTATTATTGTGTTACTTTATAATGTTAAGATTATTGATGCAGCTATAACTTATTTTACTAAGCGGGTTAATTTTAGGAAAATGTTTATCAATCAAATGCCAGTTTGAGTGATAAACATTCCATAGGTCATATTTGATTGGTTGATCAGATTAAAGCCCTCAAACCTTATAATCCTTTTTTTTTCTTTTTTTTTAAGCGGTTGTATTTTGTTTTTAAATCTAAAATTGTTCACTTGCCAGTAATTTACAATCACCTGATGAAATGCATTGATATGCATTGAAACACGACTACAATTGTGTAGCAATTTTGACATGTTTTTGATGTAATATCCTAAAATAAATATGTGTGTATATATTAATCTTATATAGTAATCAAACACATCCTTTTACCTCATAAGAGGAATAGCCTATATCAGCAGACAACGAAAGTGGTCATCTGTCTTTTCAACCCCAGTGTGGAATGAAGTTCATGATAAGGTGGAATGTAATAAGAGTTGGCTGTGAGGAAGCTAACCTTAACTTGCCAGTAATCCTTTTCACTGTTTCAGTTGGACATTAGGCAAGAGGCAGGAGTTAAGTAGGGTGGTAGGTGTTTATCTTCTTTCCCTAATAAAATCTCTCTGCCTTAAGATAAACACCTGGCCTGGAGTGGTAGCACTTGTTAGGGTCCAAGCTATGGACAAATAGTGACCCCCCCCCAAACAAAACACTATAAAAATACATTTTTATTGTAAAAATAACAGCAATACATTCTCATATATAAAAATTTACTGACAAAGCATATTTATAATAAAATTACCAACAATACATCAATCAACATGAAAGAACTCTTTCATGACATTAATCCTTATAATATCCTACAATTTCATAACTCAAAGTGTATTCCAAAATATAACTTCAACAAAACTACAACACAAAAAACACATATCACAACCTCTAGTAATTATATTCACACAAACATGTATATGCACAAAAGTTGAGTATTATCTACCATGTATTCCATTGTGAAAGCAGAATAACAAAACTACAACATAAAACACACATATCATCACCTCTAGTAATTATGTCCAAACAAACGTATATGCACAAAAGCAGAGTATCATCTACCTACATGCTTTCAATTGTGAAAGCAGAATATGTATTATATGTTTATTATTGCAAATCTCCCCCAAAAATTAAATTTCGGCATTGAGTTACCCATAAGGAATTGATATGCTGTTAAACAATCAAATTATTTCCTTTAAGAATTTCTGTAGTAAATTAGTTTCTAGTGAATTTCTATTAATAGATCTATAAATATATAGGCATTTAATTAATTTTACTAATTTAGAAGCTAAATATGTGGTTAGTTATTTATAATATTCAAATGATATTTGTCTTCTTTCTTTTTTTTTCTTTTTTTTTTTACTCCAGAAAATTGTTCATCTGGTTATTTCCTTGACTCTGGGGTATGTAAAGCTTGTGAAAAAGGGTTTTATCAACCAAAAACAGGAAAGAAGTATTGTTTACCTTGCACTTTGGGTAAAACTACATATATCACAGGAGCAGATTCCGCATCATTTTGTTTCCGTAAGTATACATTTTCTTAGAAAATATTTAGTGGAATATTACACCATTTTTTAATTGCTAACAAGACGCATATTGGCTTTTCCCACTGAATGACTCAAAAAATCTTCTAAGTCTTACATGATAAAGTTGATGTATCTGGTAAGCTAACATTCATTCAGATGCCATAGATTACCAGTACTTGTATCTAACCTGACATTGGAAACTCTATATGATCCTACATTAAGTAAGGTTGCTGAGAGAATAAGAAGAAACAGGTGGAGTAATTGTTCCAAAGACCTTAGAAAGAAATAAAGCATAATTTAATGATAGAAAATGGTGTTATATGCAATGGAGATGTGATAGTACAATCAAAAACAGTAAGAAGAGATATTTTAAATTTATACATGATTATGTGCATTGTGGGATATAACAGCTATGCAGAGGTGATTAAAATGGTGGCTAGGGTATTAGTGTGATCTAGAAAGATATGTACACAAATGTCCCAATTGTATAGAAATAAAGAATTTTCAACAAAGAAAAGCACTCGTGGCCTAAAGAATCAGAACTATGGTCATGTATTCATATGGATCTTGCACACAATAATGGCATGGGACTATTTCTAATTTTAGTAGAGTCCTTTTCAGGATGGCCTGAAGTTGTTAATGTTAAAGCTAGTAAAACAAATACTAAGAGTGGAATTTTCTAGATATTGGGTCCCTAAAACATTACTATTAGACAATGAACCAGAATTTTGTGATGATGTGTTGTAATTGAATTATTAAAAACAACAGAAAAAAACAGGAATTGGTTTGACAACAAGTTTATTACCTTTTGATACAGGGGAATATAATGTAGAATAGAAACTATGGGAGAGTATGTTTAGCTGTGAATCACTGTTTTCAGCAAAAGCTACTGCTTCTTCTCTTGATATAGAAATATTTTTATGTCTTTTGTCCGACAGCTGAGTCCAAACTTGTAGGGAAATATTCTCCCTCACAACACTATGAATGATAGTGGGAGTGACTCAGATATGGAAGAAGATGAAATAAGATCCAAGATCTCCATTGAAAAGAACAGGACATAAACCTCAACGGGGAGATGGGGAGAAAAGAGGTTGTAGAAAAAGAAGTTTGAGAACAACCAAAGTCATTAAACTTCTTCAGTTCAAGGACATGTAGTGGAATGCTAAATAGAATTGTACTTATTTGCATATGTTAAGTAGAAAAGATATATAGTTTATAATAAATTAAAAGACAGGCAAGAAGTTGACTACAGATCATGTCTCCTAGAACAAAACAACTGGAATATTAAATTTAAATAGGGGATGTTTATATGCAAAGTCGAGGGATCTGGTAGGCTAATGTTTAGCCAGATGCCATAGACTACCAGTACTTGTAGCTAGCCTCATTCCATAATACTGGAATATTAAATGTAAATAGGGGAGATTTATATGCAAAGTCGAGGGATCTGGTAGGCTAATGTTTAGCCAGATGCAATAGACTACCAGTACTTGTAGCTAGCCTCATTCCATAATACTAGAATATTAAATGTAAACCTGGGGGCCAGGTTTATATGCAAAGTTGAGGGATCTCCATAATACTGGAATAAAATGTAAATAGTTTATATGCCTAGATGCCATAGACTACCAGTACTTGTAGCTAGCCTCACTCCATAATACTGGAATATTAAATATAAATAAGGGAGGTTTATATGAAAAGTTGAGGGATCTAGTGGGCTAATGTTTACCCAGATGACTACTAGAACTTGTACCTTCTTAGTTCATTCAATTGGACTTTGGCTTGTTTTTATCTTTGCCTTTAAATCATCTCAGCAATTTATTGATTATATAAATTTGGGTTTTACATTTTATCTGCTTTCTTTTTTGCCTTTATGGATTAGTTGGATATTTTACAAAGGCCTAATTTTTGTCCCTGCCCCTAAAACTTCCACCAATCTAAGAAATGTTCATAATTAGTTTAATAATTGATTTAAGTCATTTTTTTTAAATAAAGTCATACAATTAGTGAGCATAAGTAATTACTGTTCTTCTTGGTTAATTACAGCTCCCTGTCAACTTGGCTATCAACTAATTGAAAATGGAACCTGTCAGGTTTGTCCTCGAGGAATGTATCGTCAAAATGAGAATGATAGCAGCTGCATTCCCTTGTAGTGCAAATACAACAATGACTACTGGGGCCACTTCGGCCAGTAATTGTTCTGTTCGTAAGTTATTGTTTATTTCAGATTTTTATCAGATGTTAAGGGTCAGAAAACGTAAAACAACTTAATAAGACAAACTTGGACCTTCATGCCTGCAAAAAAAAAGTACAGTTTTTCCCTTGACACCACTATTATTTTAACTACCTTCACTCCTCAACAATGTTTATTATCTAACAAGCATACATTTAAGAATTCCCTGGAATCTTTGCAAGCATTGTTAAATCTAATAAGTTTGAGATGAAGGATATAGATAAATTTAGTTTCAATATTAACTCCTATTTCAGACAACATGAGTACACAACCCAGTGCAGCTGATTGCATTAGATATTGTTATATTTACCATATATATATTTTTTTTTATTTTTTAACAATTCTATTGCATTCAGTTTCCATGGAAACAACCAAGTTACTTTTCTGACTCTCTACAAAGAGTCACTATAAACTTCTTTTGATATAGCTTTGATTTGGCTTTGATTTTGGGATCTTTTTTGGTGCTTCTTCAAGAGTAATGTCCTTAGCCAGTTCTTGTAGATTGAGACACCAAACAACAGAAACCACATCACTTGAAAACTTTCTACAGCGACAGCAAAAATTGATAGCACATATAACTAGAAGGGAAAATAATGATACAATAAAGATCTTAACATTCCACACTACTTTAAACAAAGGGTTAGGAAGGAAACCATCATCTATACTAGAAAGTGTAATAACAGTGGATTTAAGAAGTCTATTTTCCTGAAAAAAAATTTTTAGAGGAAAAATTTTATAAATTTCAGCCAGCATTAAGGCTGCTTGGTCAATGAATGCTGAATTTTTCCTTATAAGAGAATGGCTAATCTCACCAAGATTAAAAAACAAGAAACCAATCCATAATAATATTAATTCTGAACATGGTCACAATGTACTGGCCATATTTGGAAATTCAGAATTTCAGCAATTTTTATATCATCTACAACACCACTTCCATACTATTTATTATGGTACTATAACATTAATTCTGAAGATGGTCACAATTTACTGGAAATACAAAATATATATACTTTCAGCAGCACTTACACATTATTCTTCATCCTGGTATGATGATAAATTACATCCGACAGCAATGCCTCTGATCAGGAAATTAGGGTTTTTTTTAGGAGCATGGAATCATCTCTTAACTGCTGTTTTTTCCTGGTTCTCTCTAACCCAGGATGGTAGCAGCTGTTAGGTGTCCTAGCTATGGGCAAATAGTGAACACCTAAATAAATGTCAAAGCACTATGAAGGTGTAGTGAAATTGCCAGCAATACATCTGTGTAGTGAAATTGCCAGCAATACATCTGTGTAGTGAAATTGCCAGCAATACATCTGTGTAGTGAAATTGCCAACAATACATCTGTGTAGTGAAATTGCCAGCAATACATCTGTGTAGTGAAATTGCCAGCAATACATCTGTGTAGTGAAATTGCCAACAATACATCTGTGTAGGGAAAATACCTGCAATAAGTTTTTATGAAATAAAAAAAATTACAAAAAATACATTTTTATAGAATTAAAACCAGCAAAACATTTTATAACAGAAAGGTATATATCAAAACATATAACACCTACAATAGATAATCTGCAAACTACTATTAAACATACATTTACCCTGAAAAGTATAAAATTATGCTCAAAATATCTGTAGATGAAGACATAAAATTCCATACAAAATATTTAGATTTCAGCATTAAATAACCCATAGAGGTGTTGATATGCCACTAAACAAAAACAGCCAATCAACTTGTTTACACACCATTTCTTATTGTAGTATAACAAAAAAAATCGTCTTTGAAAATGGTTAACAGTTTAGCCAAAAATGCTTAGTACCAACAAACTTTAGGATAGTTTTTACATTAATTAAATCTAGAAAAGAAGGCTCTTGTAGACATTACAATGATGTTCACCCTGTATAAGGCCCAAGAGCCAATTGAGGTAGAGGGCTACACAGAGTAAGAGGCACCACCCCAAATAAGGTGATAATGATACCAAGATACAAGAAGTGAAACAGAAAGAAAAGACTTTAGAAGGAATCAGAAACCCAATCCTAAACAGGAAACAAGGGATAAACCTCTACTCCTGTTCAAAAGTTTAGGAAGAAATGTAAACTGAATGATAGACGCATCTATCTAAAAACCATTAAAAAAAATTAAATGAAAGTACTTTCTTAGTCTTGTTCAATGAAACATGTATTAAAGGGGATTGACACCAAAATATGCAACTTCCTAGGTCAGGAGTAGTGTGGACTGTCTGAAATGACTAAAAGAATAAGAAATGAGGATATTAGTCAAAAGAATTCTTATTTGTTTTTCTTTTCATATTTCTAGCTGCCTGCATTGAAGGAGAATTCTTGAATGGAACTGTTTGTAAGGATTGTCCCTTGGGAACTTATCAAAGTGAAATATGGCAAGAACATTGTATTTCATGCCCAGTAAATACATCAACTCTTAAAGAAGCCTCCAGAGACATATCATCTTGTGAAGGTAAGTTTTGAATTTCCATATATTTACTAATACCAAGCCCTAGTTTTTGTTACTTTTAGAAATTTGGCAACTGTCAGAAATATTTTAGGCAAACAAAATTTTTCTATGATCCGAGGAACACATGTTGCTTGTATTAAAATACAAGCAACATGTGTTCTTTGGAGCATGTCACCAATGTGTGACAAGCAAACATCGTATTTCACTGTTAGCTACTATTTTCATTTTAATATAATTAAAAACTGCAAGCACTCAACACAGATGTTGAAAAAATGTCCAGTTCCTTGTAACAATCTAGTAAGTACCTGACTCTTGCTATTCTCTACCTTTACAAGAGTCAGATCAGGCCAAAAATGGAGTACCATTGCCATATATGCACAGGCCCTACCCAGTTTTCACTTTACAATTGTGATAGAGTACAAAAGTGTTTACACATTATTGTGGGTAGCAAATTATTTTCCACTATACAACACCTTCCACAGAGACAAAATGTTGCAAGCCTCTCGCTGCTCTGTCACTATTTCTATAGAAAGTGTTCAGACGAGTGACATTCTTTAGTGCCACCAGTTCTAATCTTCATGGCTAAAACCTTCTATTCTATGCACATTGTAGCAAACCACCCTCATTCACTTCATATTCCAATGGTTAAATGTAAGTTCCTCTCAAGCAGCAGCTTCTCACAAAAAAAACTGCTTTGTGAAACCGACTCCCAAGTGGATGGTTTCCAGATCATTACAATCTTAACATGTTCAAGTCTAGGATTAACTTTTATCATACACACATATCCATATAAACTGTGCCATTTACTTTGTAACCCTTTACATTGAGTGGCTCTTGGGTTTTGTACAGGGTGAACATCAATGTAAAAAAAAGCTATTTATGCAGACTATTTCTGTTGTAAGGACTTCAATTTTTACTCAGTGTTCCATATTTGAAGCCTTGTGTCAGACAATGGTTAAATGATATCTCATTGTAAAATAAAAGTTAACAAGGTCATTACACCAACTGTTACCATTAGTTCAATCCTTACTATTATTCAAACTAATGTGTGAGGAACAAGAAACCAAAGTGTTAATATCAAATGGGAAATGTTAATTAAAAACTAAAATAATTTGGATTTTAACAAGTAAAATAGTGAAAAGTTTTATGAGCATTCTTTTGCATTAAATGATTTTCATTTTTTACAGCTTATCAACACTTTACAGGTTATTTAAAGCTGGAAAATATTTTCAAATTGCAATTTTTTTTTTTTTTAGATAAAAATTGTTTATTAGTACATATTTTACTAATTAATCCATACGTGGTGGGAGAAGAGGTGGATTTATATCTTTCCCAAGTGAATATAACAAACCCAACAATAATTGGAACTTGATCCCCCCAATTACCAATTCTGAGCCATTATCCATTACACCATCCACACAATTCCACCTATATCATTTATATTAGTCTTCCAGTATGTTCATTCAAGATGTTACAGTGTAGTGTAATTGATAACAGCTCAGGATGTGAAATTGGAGAACCTAGTTTGGATTCTAGCCAGGTTTGTTACATTCACTTATGTGCAAATCCCCTTTGGGAAAGGTATGAATCCATCTCTTCTCCCTCAAGCTATGGGTTAAATAGCAGGACAGATTGAATCCTATGGTCTTTAATTTACTGTGGGAATTCTTCTGCTTAGTCATTCAGGAATCAAAAGAGACTTAATTGCCCACATGTGTATCACATATTAGGACTGTTTTTTTTTATATTCATTTGGCTGGACCACAAAAAGAAACTTGTGACAAATATCCCAAACAAGCTACAGACATCAGGATATACTTTTGATCTTATTCCTTTAAGGCTGATAGAAAGGTGCTAGCTGCAGTTTTTGTTTAATTGAAAATTAATAGGTGAAATTCTTGTAATTCAAAGCTAACATGTGAATGTCTTATTTTTTTGACTTCTTTTTCCATAGAGTTTTGTAACTCGGGCTCAGACCGGAACAATATGAGTGTTCCTTGTACTCCTTGCCCAGAAGGATTTTACAGAATGCTAAATATGTCCAATCCTTTTGCTGAATGCTCTCAGTGTCCAGAAAATTTCACAACATCTGGTGAAGGAGGTTCTTCTTGCCCATTACGTATGTATGAGTTTGTTCTTTTTTTTTATTCTTAGATGAATTAAGAATGTATAGCACTGAACTCTTATGTGATCTCTCTCCTCCTATATGACAATGAATGCTGGACAATCTTCTCAAAGATGAAGAATAGATTTGAAGCAACAGAAATGTGCTCCTACAAAATAGTAATATTAGCCATTTCCCTACAAAGAAATATTAATTGACCAAGCAGCCAGTATAAAAGACAGAAAGATGTGAAGAGCCATATTTTCTCGTGTCCTGAAGAGACAGTGCATAAAAGAAGATCAGTTAAGAAACAAAGTTGTGGAGAACCATAAACGAACTTGTCAAAAGTATAATAATTTAGATATTAAATTCCTATTCATTCTTTTTTTATGTGCAGCATCCCTTCAGAACATATGCATTCATGATTCTCCACAACTTTCTATCCATTTGAGGCCCTTGGCAGTTTTTCTCCCTATTCTAAGTTCATTGCCCCTCCCCCTCCCATTCTGCCATTCATTCACACAAGCTTGTCAGGTAAGTGTCTTTGCCTATGTCTCTTGCACTCAATGTAACAATGACAGTTCTCAGCTGATATTTTTTAAAGAAAACATCTGAAAGAAGTTACAGAAATTGTTTTGGCAGTTGTTGTCTTAATAAAGGTCAGCTGAGCAAAGTGGACTTCACAAGACCCATGTCAAATGACCCCGACAAAGGAGGTCAGCTGAGTGGAGTGAACTTGATAAATGTATTGTTTTTAGATAAAAGCTGACAATGATAAAGAATGACAGTTGTCCCTAGCAACCTATAAACAGAACCACTTACTACACAAAAGGAAGGATGCAGTGCTTAGACGATTTGTTCTCTCACCTCACTCTTCCCTTGCCTGCCTATAGCCACCACTTACAAGAAGATTGCAGCAGAATAAAATTTGCCAACTGTTAAAATTTTATCTCCTGGTTTTATTTCATGGGTAACAATCTGACCAGTCATTTTCCATATATTAAGCCACAAGCTGGAAGGAACTACCCTGAGGACTAACCTTGTGTCTAGTCTGAGCTGCAGTGCTAGATCAATATACCCAGTGAGAGTTAAGTTTTCCAAGCCCTGTCTTTTTCTGATTCTGAGGATTAGTGTATTTCCAGCTTGCCATTTTCATTAAGACTTCTTTGCTGCTTACTCGCACCATTTCGGTATCCTTCTCTAGAACCATATATCCACTGCTTCCTGTATTTTCCTCATCTGTGTGGAAATTGTTCATTGCCACATTAACATATCTATTAAGTAAATACTGAAGATAATCTCCTAAAGATAATTGAAGCATTACCAGAAAGCTCAGTAAATTTTAAGTGATTGCTCAATTTTCCATTCAGTTTTTCTAATGGCTCATCTTGCATTTCACTCATCTTTCATATTTACTACACTAGGAAATTAAAAAGAAAATTAACTCTTTCTCTATCAATTTGAACATTTCTTGAACATTTGAGAAGCACCTAATTATCCTATAATAATTGTGCTTCTTCCTCTTTTTGTTACTTTGCACCACCATTACATCCTGCCAACACCTCATAAATAATGGACTACTCCATTTGATCATTTGGAAAGAGAGGAAAAGACACTACTTGGTTTCAGCAAGAAAAATAAAAGAAAGGAAGATATAAGTGAAAAGAGAATCAAATTAAACTGATGAGAACAGCTACTACACATTGATCTTACCCAAAATGCCATGATGACCACAATAAAAGGACCAGTTTTTTTTTAGATGCACAGGCTAGAAAAAAAAGGGAGATTGAAGTGTTAAACCTCTCCTGCCAATACCTTATAAATAATGGACTATTCCATTTTGATCATGTGGAAAACAAAACACATATCAGAAATGCTACTTGATTTCAGGGAGAAAATGAATGAATGAATGAATGAATGAAAGAAAGAAGGGAAGATAGAAGAATTTCATGGCTGCTTAAGTTGTCAATTTCAAATCTCTTAAAATAATGACCAGTATTCATATTTATGATTGTTATTTGAATATTTTCTTAAAGTTGTAGAGCTCAAATATGTAACAATGTGATAGGGAAATTTCTAAGGATATTTTATTATCAAACACAACAAGAACTTATTCAATCATTAACTTAACAGAAAATTAAAAAAGGAAACCATGAAAATTTCATGGGTCTTTCTACTAATATTATAATTCTGTTTGTTAATTAGTTAGTATGTACATTACACCCTGCTAATTCCTCACAAATAATAGACTTCCATTTTGACTGAGAGGAAATATGGAAAAGACATATCAGAAACACTGTTTGGTTTCAGTGAGAAAAAGGAAGAAAAAATAGAGGAAGCAGTAATTCCCTCATGCATTTAATGTCTGCTTCAGTGAAATGTAAAAACTTTGTATTTTAAATCTTTTTTATTTGGACCATCTTACTACTTTAAATACTAATATTTTGTTAAAATTGTTAAGCTCAAGTATTTAATGATACAATGGGGGATTATCCTTGTGTATTTTATAGTCACAAGTTTATTCAGCCATTAACGTAAGAATTAACATTCATCAGAAAATTCAAATAGGATAAAATATAACAATTTTCAAATATATATATATATATATATATATATATATATATATATGTGTATATATATATATATATATATATATATATATATATATATATATAAATGGACAAAGTTCAACAATTATTTTAAGACATTTTTTATGTTTATACATTCTTTTTTTTTTTTATAGATAAAAATATTTAAGTAAATGTTCTGTTTTATAATAAACAGTATTAAACAACATTTACTGGCCTGAATGACCGAGAAATTTTCATAGAAAATTTTCAGGCTGGTAAATGTTGTTTAATACTGTTTATTATAAAACAGAGCATATATATATATATATATATATATATATATATATATATATATATATATATATATATAATGTATATATAATAATACTGTAAATGTACACTATCCATTGTACTTAATCTTTTAAAATCAATTTTTGTTTCCATCAGGAATCTGTCCAGCTGGTCAGTTTAGAGACAATGGTACGAACACATGCAAGGATTGTCTTCAGGGTTATTATCAACTAAATAAAACCACAGGTGACTGCATGAAATGCCCAACTAACTACACAACCCTAAACTTAGGATCTCAAAATAAATCTGACTGCATATGTAAGTAAAACAATCCAATTCTTTAAATCTATCATACTTTTGTTTTCAGAATACACAAAGGGCAAGACAGAATTTTTTATATATATATATATATATATGGTGTATGCGCACTGTTTTTTGATTTTGGCAATTGCACAGTATAGAAGGGTCAGTTGGGTACTATCTGTGAGAAAAAGAGCACCATGACACAATTCACTTTGCCAGAAATTTGGAAACAGCATACTATACTGCTTAGTATTTGCACCAGAAGCTCCAATACAAACATTTCAAAATGTTTGAGTGTCTGTCTGAGGACAGTACAGAGGATTTGTAAAGAGTTGGATGAGGCTAATGGTGATTACGAAGATACAGCAGCTTAGAAAACTCACTCTGAGCATTCTGATAAGAACTCTCAAATTTGTTGGTGAGGCCCTCAGATTTGACACAGAGGCCTATATCAAGTGCCTTCAGTAGGTAGTACTTCCCTGGGTCAAGAGGGTGGCTGCTGAAAGACCCTACATCTGGCAACAGGATTCCACACTATGCTACACAAATATATAGAGTTTTAAGATATGCTGTATTTATGGATTAAAGTGCTTATTATAAGTGATAGATAAATATAAGTGGATAATGGGGTCAACATTCAGCAGTAACAGTCTGTTCCATACATAAATGCAATCTTCAGGCCATGTATATTGTATTTGGGCTCGACTATATATGCTGATTGATGGTGCATTATGAGTAGATATTTTGTTTTATTCTAACAGCTATTGGTTGGTTAGTTGGTTATCTTTCAAGCAATTCCAGAGACTATTGAGTTGAAATAATTGTGGATTTGACTGGCATTTTTTAACTATTTTATAATCTCCATTTAACTTTTTTAATCATTATTTATTATTTTAATATTTGCCATTGAATGTTATTATATTTACTAGTATTTGTGTGTACATTTCTAAATTGTTAATTTATTTATTATTTACTTAATTTGTTTATTTATTGATTTAGATTATTTAATTTTATTTATTATATTATTATAAATTTAATTTATAAAAAAACAGATGCTGCTGGGTTTTGACCTCAATATTCACTTTATATATATATATATATATATATATATATATATATATATACACACACACACACACACACACAGTGGAACCTCAATTTAACAAACTAATGAGGGTGGGAATCTTCTATTAAAGCCATCTGTTAATTTGAAGCACTTTTTTTCATGGTTTAAAAACACCCAGTACAGTACAAAATTATGGTAAATAAATGTAAATACAGTATATATGTATTTTATTTTTTAAGTTACTATTTAACTTTAAATAAAATTTGAAAAGTTTTGAAAGTTAAATCTAGAGTCTGATGGTTACAGGTCTGTTAATTCAAGGTTTTACAATATATAAAAACAATATTCAGATATTATTGCTTTTTCACAACTTAAAGTAAACCCCTAGATAGCCATGCAGCTGTCTCACAAAATTCACCATGTACAAGATAGTCAATTCTGTATTCTATTTTGGCTATGTTTGTATATTTTTTATATTGAGCACTGTTCTTGTAGCATCCTTGTTTGGTTTTTATTATGTAATATGTGTGTATGTGTATACACAAAAAACTACAGTAATAAATGTAATGTGTGTGTATGTGTATACACAAAAAGCTACAGTAATAAATGTAATGTGTGTGTATGTGTATACACAAAAAGCTACAGTAATAAATGTAATGTGTATGTATGTGTATACACAAAAAGCTACAGTAATAAATGTAATGTGTGTGTATGTGTATACACAAAAAGCTACAGTAATAAATGTAATGTGTGTGTATACACAAAAAGCTACAGTAATAAATGTAATGTGTATGTATGTGTATACACAAAAAGCTACAGTAATAAATGTAATGTGTATGTATGTGTATACACAAAAAGCTACAGTAATAAATGTAATGTGTATGTATGTGTATACACAAAAAGCTACATAATAAATGTAATGTGTGTATGTGTATACACAAAAATATGTAATAAATGTAATGTGTATGTATGTGTATACACAAAAAGCTACAGTAATAAATGTAATGTGTATGTATGTGTATACACAAAAAGCTACAGTAATAAATGTAATGTGTATGTATGTGTATACACAAAAAGCTACAGTAATAAATGTAATGTGTATGTATGTGTATACAAAAAGCTAAATGTACAGTAATAAATGTAATGTGTGTGTATGTGTATACACAAAAAGCTACAGTAATAAATGTAATGTGTGTGTGTGTGTAATACACAAAAAGCTACAGTAATAAATGGACTGAAATACTTTTTCCCAAGTTGGGTGATACCACCCACTCATGGGCAATATCACCAGTTCTGTGGGCAATGACCAACTGAACAAAAAATGGTGAGCTGATTGGAAATTTTGGTGAGTGATATAGGATTTTGAGTATTAAAAATGTATTTCAACATATGCTACCCACTAAAAATATTCAAAGGAGATATGCAAAAAACCTGTATAAAAAAAGGGGGTGCAAATGGGAATAAGTGGGTCACATTCCTAGATAGGATATAAATATTCCCAGAAACAAGGAATATTTGGTATTTTTGATAGTTCTGGGAACGTTCATTAACATTCAAATACTTCTTCAGATAAAATAACATCTTTTTATGGATATAAATTGGATAGGAAAAGACCAAGAACAACAAAAATATACACTGAATTTTTATTAGTTGCTTATAGTGTATATACTTAATAATTTTATAATTATGAACAAAAATTGTTCAATTCTTTTCAATACTTTTAATGCTAATCCTTGAGAATAAAAGAAAATTTTATATATATATATATATATATATAGTTTTCAATTGGTAAGTTTGCTTTCATTTGTTATTAGCAGCAGCAGTCACTGCATAAGTCAGAAGTTATTTATTACCACACTTTGGTATTTTTGATTACATCATAAAATTAGTTTATGAACCAATAACAAACATTTACCAAAGAATTTTGGTATGCTTTGGAGTATTTACTATATGGAGTGCAACAGCACAAAAAGGTTGGGAAAACCCAAGCTAAAACTAGTAATAAAATAATAGTAATAATGAAGAGTGTATAGAGCCACTGTTGGGATAAAAAGCAATAATAATAAGATGGAATAAAACTAGTAATAAAATAATAGTAATAATGAAGAGTGTATTGAGCCAGAGTGTTGGGATAAAAAGCAACAATAATAAGATGGAGAAATCTAATTCCCAAATTTTGTTTTTCAGTTTATTGCCGTTTTGCTGGATATGAAATTGGGCCTTCAAGAAATTCTTGTATTGCCTGTGCAAAAGGATTTTACAAGAACAATACTGCAAGAATTCTTGAAAAGTGTAGTCCATGTCCCCAGGATTTTACAACTACCATAACTGAAGGAGCTACTAATATCAGTCAGTGTGACTTAAGTAAGTTTGTTTTTTATTCCTCAATCCTTGTACTTTCTTTCTTGTTTTTACTATAGGAGGAAAATAAATAAAAATAAAGAAAATCTCAAGTATAATGTAAGACTTGTTCAGTCATCATCTTCTGCAAATGAACATGACTTAACTCATTCAGATATTCAATCAATTGTTTTATGACAAGTAGCATTCAGTCAGTGTGACTTAAGTTTATTTTTTTTCTCAATCCTTGTACTTAACTATATTTTTTTAACAGCTACCTGTATGCAACATTCAATGATTGACCCAGATTTATTTTGGCGTTATTCTGAGTCTGTCTATATTTGTTTTGAAGGCTCTAAAATTTACACATCCTCATTCTTATCTGAAGCCTGATTAGACAAATTCATTATTAACTGTTCAGAAATCAGCAGTAGACCTAAAGAAACAAAATCTATATTGTTTGCCCCAAAAAAGGTAGAAGATAGTAAAATTACAAGTCCCTTCAAAGTTGATGATGCTTCAAGATAAATCCAAAGAATCATTGTAAGTTCTGAAATGTTTTAAGCTAAAGACTATTTAGAATGATTGGCCATGGTTAATTAACTAATATGCCCAATCGATGGAACTGACAAAGTTTCCAGTAAAGAATAAGAAAAAGAAGAAAAAGAACAGGTGAAAATAATACTAAGAAAACTATATATTCAAAACAAAACTGTGCAGAGCAACAGTAAAAATGAGGTTAACATGCAAAAGGGATACAGTCAAGTGAATGTCGCATCCTAACTTCAAGACAAGAATGAAAAAAAATATGGCAGATGAGACTGAGAAGCAGTTCATTTTATTGGTTAAGAAGAAATCCCAGCATGCATCTGTACAATTTTTTCTAAATTTTGGGTGGGGGATGTTGTTGCAATTATCCAAACAGGATTGTAATAAATTGAGCATATTCAAATAAGATAATACACCTTCATTATTCTGAAAAGATGAATATTGCCCACCTTGCCAAAGAAAAAGGTTTCAGAGATACTAAAGTAATGGAATTTTCTTCAGATTCTCAAGATATTAATCCAATAGAATAATTACAGTCAATCATTAAACAAAATTGATTTAAATTTCCATTGCTGTTTCAACAGAAGGACAAATATTTGAATTCAAAGCAAAGACTTAAATTTTTACATGTCCCACCAATGAAACAGCCTCATCAGAAAAACTGAGTTTTTATTTTAACTAAATCAAAAATATGATATAAATATTATTAGAAAAAGTTTTCTTAAAAAAATTTTTTTGCTGTAAAATATAAGAATTTTTTTTTGTTGTGATGCAATGGAAAAAGAGAGCATATGTTAGACATTTCCATGACGGTCGTCCTTGAGTATTTAATCTAGAGGTTGGCAGTGAATATTTCGGAGACAGTAGGAAAGCGTACTTTAGGTTCGCAGTGGATATCACAGCAGAGTGTAGTTTATCCTTCTCCTGGTCGCCTTTGGTCCTTCCGGTAGACGAAACAAGATGGCCGCCTTTATACACGATGAATACAGTGTTGTGCGGCTTCGGATTGGTCAACCTTCCATTGGTCGACTATAAAGGGAAATAAGTCATTCTGACTCGCTCACTAGTTATAAGTATATATACCAAAAAAAAAACGTAACATGTCACCTATCATATTTCAAATGTTAAAAAAAGGTGTAAATAAACAAGACTCAAATACTATGTGAAATTTAAAAGAACATATCTATTACAATACATATTTAAAAATGATAAAACAATATTTTACAAGGTGGGCTTGCACAAAAATATCCTTTTGTGCACAATATTGAAAAAATAAAACAAGATAACATTTCAAGCAATATACACAAAATTTCAAGAAAGACTTCAATACAATTTTCACAAATAAAAAAACTTTGAGAAGGTAATGCAAATTTTTGATGAGGTAGAAAATACAAAGAGTGTAACCACACTCTTTGTATTTTCAAAGATTTGCAAGATGAAGAAGAATGTCAGACTTTTTTTTTTTTTTTCATTAGAGAAAGTGTTATACCTGACGTACCTATTCTATTATTAATAGACTCTCCCACACATAAGTAGTAGTAGTAGTAATGGTCACCAGTTAGGCTCAGTGGTGTTGAGCGAGTCAGTCGATATCGGACATTGAAGTACCAACCATCGCAACTAGATTGCTGCATCATTAACTCTTATTTCCAAGTTCCTAACATTTTGTATGTCGAACCTAATTTAGGATGACATTGAAATACAAGCCTCCACTGTGAAAACTACTCTACAACAGAAAGATTCTGTCAACAGGTTTCTGTTCCTTTGCAAATTCTTTTTAGGAAACAACCAAAAGTTGATTTCCCTCTTGGGTCCTTCATCTATTGGTTTTTCCCCTTTTCTGCTGGTCAGTTGCTTTATATAAGAAATCAGGACACACTGCAGACTTTCAAAATATATGAGTGAATGAGCCCACATTTCTGATTGGACAGTAAATAAAATAATAAATATTTTTTTATTTTTCATTCAAAAAAAATGATCTGCAACATTCCACAGACAAAAATAATTATGGCACTAACCACTAATTCTAAAAATAAAAATTTTCACAGACAAATATAAAAAATTTTAAGTATGTGTAGTAGACAAAACGAGATGATTATAAGTTTTTTTTTTTTTTTTTTACACTTTTTAATTTTAGTTATTTTTTACTAATAAAAATTTATTAATCAATTGAATCACATTTATCTCTTACTAAGTGTAAATTTTTTTTTAAATAAAAATTAATTTTTCTGATAGTTTGATCACTGCCCTGTCAACAGGGGCTTCAGAATACACTGACTGCACCTCTACAAAGGGGTAAAAAAAATAAGGCATCCTGGGTAAGGCAATAAACTACATCTGACAGCAAGGCCTCTGATCAGGTGGTTTTGAGGAGTGTGGAACCACCTCTTAATTTCTTAATTGCTGGTGTTCCCAGGTCCACCCTGACCCGAGGTGGTAGCACCTGTTAGGGTTCCAGCTATGGGCAAATAGTTAAGCCCCAAACTGGGGTCAAAACACTATGAGAGTGTAAAAATAGGTTTAAATACCAGCAGTACATTTTTGTGAAAACTTATTAGCAGCAATGAATTTTTAAAGAAAAAACTTATTAGCAGCAATGAATTTTTGAAGAAAAAACTTATTAGCAGCAATGAATTTTTGAAGAAAAAACTTATTACCAACAATGAATTTTTGAAGAAAAAACTTATTACCAACAATGAATTTTTGAAGAAAAAACTTATTACCAACAATGAATTTTTGAAGAAAAAACTTATTACCAACAATAAATTTTTGAAAAAAAAACTTATTACTAGCAAAACATTTAAAAAAAAAAAAAAAAAATTATTAACAGGAATACATTTTTCAAAAGGAAAAAAAAATATTACCAGCAATAAAAAAAAATTTGTCTGTATTAAATAACCCATTGAGGTTGATATGCTATAAAACAAAATAAACAGTTTGATCAGCAAAGCCTGTCAGGACAGATTTCTTTCCTAATTGTCTTGTATATTTTCTATTAAAAGAGATGTATATGTAAACAGTTAAGAATCTTCAAGTAAAGAAGATATCTTAATGGAAAGAAAAACATCTCCAAACAATTTTAAAGTTGAAAAGTTATTAAAATTAAAAGATTGAAAGACTGATGAAAGATATAGAATGTTTAGGAACCCTTAACACATAAGAAATAAAATAATTTATTTACATATATGAGATACTCTGCTAATCAAATGTATTTTTCCATGACCTATGTCTTTCAGATATATTTATAAATAAAAATTTAATATTTCACTTTATTTACATACTAAAACCTGAAATAAGTTATAAATATTTTTAAAATGTATACTCTAAAACTAACTGTTTATCAATTTTAAATATAATGATTTGTTTTTTTTTTCTTTCAACTTGAATCTTTGTAGGAATCTGTTCAGCTGGTCAATTCAGAGACAATGTAAGTAACACATGCAAGGATTGTCATCAAGGTTATTATCAACCAAATATCACCACAGGTAACTGCCTGAAATGTGCAGCCAACTATACAACCCTAGCATCAGGATCCAAAAATGAATCTGACTGCATATGTAAGTAAATAATTTCAATTCTTTGAAACATATATATATATATATATATATATATATATATATATAGGTAAGTTGAGCCACAACCCATTTCTAAGAAACTTTTAATTTTTTCGTTTTCGCTTAGTTTGAATCCAATGTAGGTCATATTTGAATGGTTGATCTAGGTAAAGCCCTCAAGGCATATAGAATTTTTTTTGTTTTTTTTTTAAAAAAAAAAAAATGTATTTTGCTTTTGAAACCAAATTAATTGTTCACTCACCAGTAACTTACAATTACCTGAGGAGAAAACATGACTGCAATTGTGTAGTGATTTTTACATATTGCTTTAATATCCTAAAATAAATTTTTATATATATATAAAATGATATTAGTGATCAGTATTGATATTTCCAAAAGGATAGAAATCTAGGTAGAGCTCTATGTCAGAGACAGAGCAATAATTATTATTATAAAAGGCACAAACACTTAATATTTCATGAGGTTATATTTATTTCATTAGGGTCATAAAAATGGCCCCAATTCATCAAACCAAAAAGAAACAGACCAAAAGGAAGCAGAATATATTTCTTCAGGTTTAAATAAAATTTATGTAAAAGTTTGGGAAAAAGGTGGAAGGAAAGATGCGTAAGTAAGATTGAGAGAAAGATGGAAAGAGAGACATAGAAAGAAAGATAGGAAAAATGCGTATGTGAGATTGTGGAACGGAAGATGATGAAATCATTCAGAGAGAGGAGGTAACAGAAAATTTTTTAACATTTAGATTGAGGCGAATAGAAGTTATTATCAGTTGAATAATTGAGGCGAATAGAAGTTATTATCAGTTGAATAATTGAGGCGAATAGAAGTTATTATCAGTTGAATAATTGAGGCGAATAGAAGTTATTATCAGTTGAATAATTGAGGCGAATAGAAGTTATTATCAGTTGAATAATTGAGGCTAATAGAAGTTATTATCAGTTGAATTGAATAATTGAGGCAGAATAATTGAGAAGTTATTATCAGTTGAATAATTGAGGCGAATAGAAGTTATTATCAGTTGAATAATTGAGGCGAATAGAAGTTATTATCAGTTGAATAATTGAGGCGAATAGAAGTTATTATCAGTTGAATAATTGAGGCGAATAGAAGTTATTATCAGTTGAATAATTGAGGCGAATAGAAGTTATTATCAGTTGAATAATTGAGGCGAATAGAAGTTATTATCAGTTGAATAATTGAGGCGAATAGAAGTTATTATCAGTTGAATAATTGAGGCGAATAGAAGTTATTATCAGTTGAATAATTGAGGCGAATAGAAGTTATTATCAGTTGAATAATTGAGGCGAATAGAAGTTATTATCAGTTGAATAATTGAGGCGAATAGAAACTATTATCAGTTGAATAATTGAGGCGAATATAAGTTATTATCAGTTGAATAATTGAGGCGAATGAATAATTGAGGCGAATAGAAGTTATTATCAGTTGAATAATTGAGGCGAATAGAAGTTATTATCAGTTGAATAATTGAGGCGAATAGAAGTTATTATCAGTTGAATAATTGTTGACCTAATTTAAAATACAGACTATGGAAAACATGGATACATCAATTGTGACAGTTAAAAACATGAAAAGGGCAAAAAAGAAAAGAACTAGAACTTCATTCTACTATCAACGAGCTGATTGGGACGCATTCCGTGATTTCCTCCGCGATGTCCCCTGGGATATTGTCTTTACGCTCCCCATCCAAGAATGTGCTTCTGAGGTCTCGTCCTGGATTAAAGCTGGAATCGACGCTTTCATCCCCTCAAGGAAATATAGGGTCACGTCTTGCTCCTCCCCCTGGTTCTCCACTGCTTGCTCAGCCACCATTGCCCATAGGAACCACTTCTTTCACCTATTTTGTAGCAACATGTCTGACTGCAATAGACGTCTCTTTGCCTCCGCCCATAACGAGTGTAAGCATGTCCTCAACGATGCTAAGTCACTATTTGCTGCTCAGATGAAGGAGCGTATTGCATCTTGCAAATTTGGCTCCAAAGATTATTGGCGTCTCTGCAAGAGAGTACTGAGCAATTGCAAACCCTCTATACCTCCTTTGTTCAGCCAGTTCAAAGTCCTGACCTCCTCCTGCCGACAAGGCTGAATGCTTTACTCAGAAATTTTCATTCAACTCAACACTCGACTCTTCCAGTGTACCCATACTCGACTTCCCTCTTAGAACTGAGGCCCATTTGAGTGGGTTACACATAATCCCGTCTTTGGTATTGGGCATTATCTCCAATTTAGACCCCAACAAGGCTAGTGGTGGAGATGGGATACCAGCCATTGTCTTGAAGAAATGCGCGCCTCTCTAAACTATATAACTTCTGCCTCAGGGAATCTTGCTTTCCTGACTGCTGGAAGTCCTCTTCGATTGTTCCTGTCTTCAAGAACTCAGACAACCCCTCTGACCCTTCTAACTACCGTCCTATCAGTCTCCTACCCGTCTTTGGCAAAGTCTTCAAAGCCCTAATCAATACCGAAGTGGTTAACCACCTCACATCCCATGATGGTCATTCTCAACGGATTCTCCTCCAGTTCCTATCCTATGAACGCCGGTGTTCCTCAAGGCTCCATCCTAGGCCCCACTCTATTCCTTATCTACATAAATGACCTTCCTGACACCATAAATTCCCAAGTTGGCATCTATGCGGATGATGCCACAATTTATTCCTGCCTCAAAAACAAATCTGGTGTCACTGACAAAACTAAACTGGCCATGCGTCTCGAAAAGGACCTCCATTCGATTGTGAACTGGGGCAGGAATAGCCTGGTCAACTTTAATGCTTCAAAAACAAAACTGCTCTCTATTAATAACCACAGAGATCCTTCCTTGATAGGCTCCAGAGGTGGATATGCAATATAATTGGCCCTGCTCTGGCATCTCGTCTACAGTCCCTTTCTCACAGATGCGCCGTCGCCTCTCTCTGTTTGTTTTACAAATACTTTCATAGCAATTGCTCCATGGAGATGCATTCACTGGTTCCCAGACTTCATGAGCTCAAGCGCCCTATGAGGCTGGCATCCCACTCTCACCCTTTCACTGTCAAAACTCCTAAATGTAGCCGTCTCTTCTACTCCAATAGCTTCATGTCTCACACCTCTCACCTGTGGAACTTGCTTCCCTATTCCAGTCTTCTTGAGAGCTATAATCTCCAACTATTCAAATGTAATGTCAATTGACATCTCCAGTTGCCTTGATCTATCCACTACCCTTCTCCTCATCCTTTCCTCTATCACTCCTGTCTGATCTTGCTCCAAATTTTCTGTAAACCCTTGCATCCTAGTGGCTTCTCGCCTTGCTCGGGGTGAAACGCTTAAAAAAAAAAAAAAATAAATAAATCAATGAAAGATGGTTATGCGCACAATCGAAATATTCTCTCTGACCTACAATTATGACAGTTATGTATTCATTAAAAAGAAAAAGGGGACTTTAATATTTCCGAAAAATCATGTAATTTAATAATTATAATGTGTAAGTTTTTGAAAAATCGTAATTTTCTCAAAGATTTCAAATTTAACATAAAAATATAATCCAGTTAGAATAAAAATGTATATAACACACACACACATATTATATATATATATATATATATATATATATATATATATATATATATATAATTGAGAGAGAGGAAAAGGTTCAGATTTTACTTAATATTAGTTATAAAATTACTGATGATATTCTTAATAAAACCAAATATTGTAATAATAATAATTATGATAATAAATATAGAAAAGTTTACATAAAAAATAATGATATTAATAAATTATAAAATTAATTAGACACAAGGAATTAATCAAGTATATATATATCTACTAAGGTTACAAATGTACCAATCTAATTTCATATAAGTATCCGTTTACATATATATAAATAAACCTTTTAATATATAGTTTATGGGCCCCAAATCTGGATAAAATTATATTTTACACATTCAATTTCTAACATATACATAGCAATGATAACACAATTCAAACAGAAGTCTAATTAATCAAACAACACAATAAACACAATGGGTTTAATTTTATAAAATTTCTTCCCTTTTAAGACCAATACCTTCCACTCTACCCTTACCTCTGTCTCATGCATTATGTCTTAATGAAACATTGAAATGGATAAATTGTGTATTAGCTTTTTGACAGGATGATTTTTTTATTAATTATATGGCTCTGTATTAATAAATAGATTGAGGTCTTTTTGTGGATCAGTTTTAATATTTAATACCACTAAGATCCACTTGGATTATATACCAATGGATTTGTTACCTTTACTACATATATATATATATATAACATTCTTAGCAGTACAGAACTTGAGTATTGCTGTAAAGACATTTAGCTGAATATTACTTGGCATAATTAAAAACAACAACAGCAAATATATATATATATATATATATATATATATATATATATATAAAAAATAAAAAAAAATTTAAATAGGTAAACAACTGATTTCACTCACACTCTTCAACATTTTTTAATCAGGAGTAGAAAGGGTTAAATACAATAAATTTGCGAATTTGAGGGGGAGTACTAGAGACTAATTATAGCAAGCTCGAGCAAACAATCACGCTGTTTACACAGAGAGAAGGTTTACGAGACTTCATATACATTGTCTCCAGTACTTCTAAGTGTAAAGAGTGTGACTGGGACAAAACAGTAAACCAGTCAACACTAAATTCAGCTGCACACTTTCTGTTCTTTGTAAAGTGCTCACTAATTGAGAATCCATAGGTGTTTTTGATCAGCTCATTTGGAACCAAAGTATGATTCCTGATCTTAATTGCCATGTGTTTTTATTTTTGCATCTAGTTATTGGGTAGTCCTCTTTATGTAGCTCACTCTACAACTACAATAGCATTTATATATAACAGAATTCACTTGATGATGGGGTAGAACATCCATATGAATAGTTGAGAGGATTGGCCGGGTATTGAATACAATATGAACTTCAGCAGAAAAATAACACTCATGGACACTAGAAGAAATTTGCCTGGATAGGTTTTTGCATTCAGCTCCAATCCAAGGAAGTTGCAAATAAACAGGGCACCTTTCTACCGTAGCAGGCTTAATTTTTCTGAAATTAGCAATCTTGCTATGAATGACTGAATTAACAATATTAGGCAGATACCCATTATTACATAGTCCTCATTACAAAACTGATTTCACTATCCAGGAAAGCCTCAGAACAGATCATCAACACCCAATGAGCAAGAGTTTTGATGAGGTTTATCTTCCACTTCTTAGGACAAAAGGAATCCCAACGTGTCTACAACCTGGCAAAAGTAGACTTCCTATATACTGGGGTCAAAAACGATGTTGGAGTACAATGCACCAATACATCTAAAAATGCAAGTTGGGAATTAGACTCTTTCTCAACCGTAAACCTCAGAGCTGGATGAAGACTATTGAGAGTGGAGAGAAATTGATCCACCTCAACTTCATTAAATTAACAAAAAGTATCATTGATATGCCAACAATATAATTGTGGATGAAGTGAACTACTAAGCAATCTCACCTCATGAAAACCAACAAATATATTTGCCAGTACAGGGCCCAAAAGGGAACCCATGGCAACATCCTTAATCTGTCAAAACATAATGTTATCAAAGCTAAATTCAACAGATGATTTGGCAAATTTCATCAGTTCAAAGAACACTTTGTCAGAGGTGTATATATATATATATATATATATATATGCATATGTAAAATATTTAATTTATTGTTTATCCATTATTTTAAATGGATACTCATATTCAGGACAGTAGATGTAAATAAATAAAGATGGAACATCTGCTCAAATATGAGTAGCCATTTAAAATAATGATTAAACAAATAAGTTTCAAATATATATAACATTTATTCCATTTCCTAAATATATATATATATATATATATATATATATATATACACACACACATATTTTGTGTGTGTGTAGAAAAAAAGCAACTATAATAATATAGATTATGTATAGTGCAGATATTCCCAAATTTGGTTTATATGATAGAATAAAATTAGTAATAAAATAATAGTAATAATGAAGAGTGTATAGAGCCAGTGTTGGGATAAAAAGCAATAATAAGATGGAATAAAACTAGTAATAAAATAATAGTAATAATGAAGAGTGTATAGAGTCAGTGTGTTGGGATAAAAAGCAACAATAATAAGATGGAGAAATCTAATTCCCAAATTTTATTTTTCAGTTTATTGCCGTTTTGCTGGATATGAAATTGGACCTTCAGGAAATTCTTGTATTGCCTGTGCAAAAGGATTTTACAAGAACAATACTGCAGGAATTCTTGAAAAGTGTAGTCCATGTCCCCAGAATTTTACAACTACCATAACTGAAGGAGCTACTAATATCAGTCAATGTGACTTAAGTAAGTTTGTTTTTTATTCCTCAATCCTTGTACTTTCTATTTTTTTCTTTTGCTTAATTAACAGCTACTTGTATGCAACATTCAATGATTAACACAGATTCATAATTGTTTTGGGTCAATTTGAGTTGGTGTGATTTTGTGACATTTTGTTTGAAATGAGGAATTGACATGCCAACAGATAATGCTATGCAGGTATTTAAAGATACCAACGTTTACAATAGTTATAACTGGTGCAGGTGTTTGGTGCTGGTTGATAAAAACACTTCAGTCTTCCCAACTATGAACCTCAAAGAATAGATCAAGTATCAATTAATCGTCTGAGAGAACCCTTTTTACTTTCTATCATTATGGCTGGTGCTAACCTCCAGGATAGTGATTCATTGTGTCTTCTTAGTCTAACGTTTTCCCAGTGATATGAAGTGGATCAATTATATTGAATCAATTGCTTAGTCTGCTGCTAGGAAATCTGGTTCCCTGTGCCATGCTAGACAATTTTTCTTGCCAGAATCTATCTTACATACTTATAAGTCTACCATTTGACCTTGCTTTGAATATTGCTGCCACATCTGGTCTGTTGTCTTGTATTGATCTGCCATTCTGATGTATGTATTGGTGAAGAATAGGCTGTGTACATCACATTTGCTGTGGAGGAACACATTGCAGTTGTTGACCTTGCTAATACCCTGTCTCCCAAGCATTCATTTCCAGCTGTAGTGTTTTCATCAGTGATATCCTAATATCAAATTCTACCTCATGGATTCTGTTTTTGGTTTGAGGCCACTCCTTTAAAAAGAAAATGTATCTGCCATCCTCTTCCATCAAAAGGCTCACATTGGCAAGTCAGATTTTGTTGGTATGCAATGATATAGATTCTGTATCGCTGCAGTTCCCTGGTCATAAGCACAATTCTTTTCTCGGATCTTGTGGTGCCAGCTCTGTCTCATAGCATTCAAAAGTTCCAGGTTCCCATGATTGATGACCTTAGTCTTGTGATCTGTTCAACCAAAGATGGGTGGTTGGTGTCTAAACCAGCACACCCATGAGCCTTTCTACTGGTAAAGAGGGTAGCATGTCATCCCACAAGATGGAAAACAAGACCTGTTAATGGGTGAATGATCTTCTTATGAGCCAATGACCAACATATATAAGGCTAAGATGGGGTTTCAAGCTGTGACTAGCAACCTGCCTAGAGATGCTGTCTGGATAAAAACACTTGGTGTACTTGGACTATCACAAGTGTCTGAATTTGGTGTCAAGAAGAGAATCCGACCTTGTCAAAAAAAAAAACAAAAAAACTTGCCTCAAATTATTATGATAAATCCTTTATCAGGTAGGGTCAACTTTGCTTTTTCCAAGATTAATTCTGGTCTTACCTCGACCCAAAAAACACATTTATGCAGATGTATGTACATTTACCAAAGTCATGCTTGGCACCTCTCAAAGCGAACAGGTGTTCTATTATCATAACAATGGAATTTAAAGTTTTTTCTGTTTTTAATTCAAAATTTATATCAAATGACACCAAGATGTAAATATATCTAAATCCTTCTGAGCTGAATGTGCAATATTTTTATATATATATATAATATTAATGGTCAGAGTTGAATCAGACCAGAAAACAGTAGTATTAAAAAGTGCTCAATACACATATAAAAAGTAAAATAAAAGTAAAAATAATATCTAGAGCTTTAACTTTAAAAATCAAGAGGTCAGTTCAATTAAACCCTCCCCCGATACATTTACAATACATTTGCTTTTCTTCTCTTCCCCCTTTCTTCTTCCTTCTTCTACATGTCCTCTGCCTCTCTTTCTATTATGCACAACATTATTGTGCTTTTGTTTATTTTTGAAAATAATAATATAGCGTTTATTAGTTTTTTTAAAAAAAATTAAAGTGTTAAGTGGTCATTTGATAAAAATCACTTGAGGGTACCATAATGTTAAAACCAAGGTAGCAAATTCAACTGACCTTCTGATTTTTAAAATGTGTATATATATATATATATATATATATATAATCAAGCCTAGGATGAGGCCTCAAGCCTTGAATGGCAACTTTCCTAGAGATGGTGTCTTGATAAAAGCAGTTGGTATACTTGGACTATAGTGAGTGTTTAAGTTGAAAGCAACAGGAAGATATTCTGGCAATGTGGGTTCTGCTTGACAAATTCTCTGTCAGGCAGGACCCACATTAATCCTGGTCTTGCCTAGGGAAAAAAAACAACAGTAGGATTCTTGCCTAGGCAAAAAAAAAAAAAAAAACGGTAGGATTCTGTCAGCTGTAGTAATCTGACCAGACACTTTGAAGGCAAGCATTTGTTTGATGTACTTTTTCTAGCCACCTCCCTCATGTGAGAGTTGGCAGTGCTATCCTGAAGAGACTACCCATTTTCTCTGGGTGCTGCCAGACATTTTGTTGATGTAAACTATTGTTGATGTTGATCTATGGGCTGCCTACAAGCAGGTTTGTGAATAAAACTGTCAGTGATCTTTGCCACACACCCAGAACTTTTATATGCTATGCCCATCACCATAGGCCCTGAAGTTGTATACATTGCAAAATCAACTATGTAATGATTAGTTTCCAAAACGGACCTATACAGAAAAAAATTATGATGGGGTAATCGTTGCACTAGGGTAATTCCACTCTGCCATCCTAGGAAGTCTTTATTCAGTGGCATGAAGAACTTTTACAGCCAAAGACTTCCAAGCTACAGTAGGTGACCAAGACTTCTACATGTCACATCTATATTCTGATTTACTTCACATCACTTGCTGACATTAACTTCATGGCTATTGGATCTCTAGAATTTCTCATCCATCCACTTTACTCAGAATTAACTTTCACATAAAATAGAGCTTACAGATCCAAAATTATCTATGATCTGGACGCGTCAAATATCCTCATCTGGTTTTACCCACCTTAGACAAATGTTAAATAATAATTTATTCATGTATACGAAATACTGTACCAATTACACACATTTTTCTACGGCCTGTGTTTTTTGGATTTATAAGCTTGTAGTTGAGTGCTTAGAACATTCACTTTCCAACCATGCGACCATGATTCTGAATCTCACTACGATTGATCAGGAAGGTGACATTTTGATGTTATTAGCCAGCAAAGGCAATCCCAGCATGCAACACCTTTTGAAAAGTGCCTGAAAACCACACCATGTGTGAAATTGGATAATTGAAACTATTTTGGGAGCCATCAAAGCTTTTGCTATCACAAATCAACATGGCCTTGCTTAGACTTCTAATCACACCAGATAATGCACTCTCTCCCAGAAACTGTAACTAAGGTTCACTTGGTAGTTGCACTATAAACCACAGGTGGACATATGTGCCTGAGCAAGCATCTGGAATAGGGATCGCCTAGCTGACAGGCATTCTCTGATATGAGTGTCCAAATATTTCTTTGGGATTTGTTTATAAATAAAAATTAACAGTGTAGTTATTTTTTTATAACTATACATATTACAGTCTGAAAAACATGATATATTGTTCATGTGAAAATGTCAACCTGCATAATAAAATCTGACATATTTTTTATGAATTCTAAATGTGTTTTTTTTTTTTTTTTTTTTTTTTCTGGGTTTTTTTTTTTCAACACTAATCTTTACAGGAATGAGCTCAGGTAGTTTAGAGACTATTAAAAGAGGTTTGGAGATAAAAGAAATGGATATGAATGCATTTAACAATATTCAAGCAAAGATGATATCTCGATAGAAATAAAACATCTTCAGGCAATTTTAAACTGGAAACTATTATTATTAAAATTAAAAGGTTGAAAGACTGATTAAGAATACAGAATGTTACGGAGCCCTTATAAACACATAATAAAATTTATTTATATATATGAGATACTCTGCTGATCAAATATATTTTTCCATAGCCTATGTCTTTTAGATTTATTTATAAATAAAAATTAATATTTCACTTTGTTTACATAATAAAACCTGAAACAAGTTGTTACAAATAGGTTTAATTCTAAAACTGATTGTTTATAAATTTTAAATATTTTTTTTTTCTTTCAACTCAAATCTTTGTAGGAATCTGTTCAGCTGGTCAATTCAGAGACAATGTAAGTAACACATGCAAGGATTGTCATCAAGGTTATTATCAACCAAATATCACCACAGGTAACTGCCTGAAATGTGCAGCCAACTATACAACCCTAGCATCAGGATCCAAAAATGAATCTGACTGCATATGTAAGTAAATAATTTCAATTCTTTGAAACATATATATATATATATATATATATATATAGGTAAGTTGAGCCACAACCCATTTCTAAGAAACTTTTAATTTTTTCATTTTCACTTAGTTTGAATCCAACATAGGTCATATTTGAATGGTTGATCTAGGTAAAGCCCTCAAGGCATATAGAATTTTAAAAAATTTTTTTATAAAGAAGTGGATGTATTTTGCTTTTGAAACCAAATTAATTGTTCACTCACCAGTAACTTACAATTGCCTGAGGAGAAAACACGACTGCAATTGTGTAGGGATTTT